TTTTCCAAGTTGATAACAGAAATTTTCAGGAGAAGAAAATAAAAACAGGAATGAACGATGAAGCTCTACCTGAAAGAAAGAATCAGCTTGGAAAAAGAACGAATGATTCTCACTTAAAATAAACCGTCACGTAGAAAATGTATAATTTCACTTCAATAAATTGACTTTGGCATGTTGCTGTTGTCACTTCTTTTTCGCCTGTTTTACGGTTTAAAGTTTGGCCGTTGTCGTCCATTTTCGGTTATCTGTTTAAGGTACGGACGATATTTTCGTTGGTATATGCAATTTGACACGCAGAGAAGTAAACATAAGTAAGATTGTTATATTCCCGTCATTCAAGGTCGTTGATTGAAAATGGAAAGACTCGGCATTCATTCATGAAACTTGTCATCATTGCGTTTCACTGACTCGCTTTGGCGCTGTTTTTCCGATGATCTTATTGTCACTCTGTTCCCATTTATAAGAGAAAAGTTATTTGGAAAACGCGTGTAGCAGCATAGATGCAGATGTGCTGACAGGGTTACAATAAGATAACAGTTATTACAATTTCATCGGCTTTAATATCTTCAAACGGGACCTTTGTTACTAATAGTCGTTCATCGAATTGTTCGGTTGTACGCCTACGCGAGCGGCCGGGTAGCACGGTTCGTTTCTCTAAAGACCCTGTTACGCGACGCCTGTGCGATGAGTGAAATACACCCACAGATCCGAACGTTTAACACCGAGAAATTCGACCTTGAGCCGATCAGCATCAGCAAAGAGAAGATCTATATCGCTTGTTGAAGCGTGCGAGCGTTAAACGGAGACGGCAAGCTGAGTGACATCCTTACAGCTGAGCGATACCACCTCGACCTCCTTGCGGTCTCAGAAACCATCCCCAATTATGGAGTGCCGCTGAAGGTGATCACCCTGTTGAAAGGGCTGTGCGGAGATATTAAAAGCACCATCAGAACAGACGAGTCATCGAGCCGGTTTAACATCAGTAGTTGATTGCGCCAAGTAGAAGTACCTTCACCTCTCTTATTCAACATGTTAGTAGATTATATGATGCAGGGGAGCGTCGTCCCAAACAACAACGA